ATAAAACTTTTAAACATTAATATTAACTAATGCATTGGCTTCTCACCCCATTAAATTTGAGAAGAGATGTTTCTCCAAAAGATGTAGTTTATACCACAGACTGCTGGTTCTATTTGACAGTTTTAAGTGGTCCAAATAGCTCTGCCTAATATAGGTAAGACCACAATCTACTTGAGTGACTAAATTTTTTACTTTACCCTCTCCTCCAGCTCATTAGAGTATTTCCCATATAGTTAAAATCCTGGTCTTCTCCCTCTGACCCTCCCATTCTCTCCCCAAGGAAGGTGTAGGCATTGCATTAATATTACTGAGGTAAGCATCTCAATTTTGCATGTAGTTCAGTAAAGGTTTTCTTGGCAGTTTTAATCAATCCACAGAGATCATAGAATCGTAGAATGCGTTACTGCGTAAAGTAGTGTGGTAGCATTCTTAAAGAATGCCTTGGGCAGTGTACTGCCCCAAATTGATAAATGTGTCTTCTACAGGGGACGAAATGAAAATAATAATTTCTTAAGCAGGATTAAATTCTCTGTGGGACTCTGAATGTTTCTGTAATGGAGACATTACTTTGTGAGATCTAATGGTTCATAAGACAGAACCCTCTTACCTCTTTTTGGGAGCTCTCCACTTAAAGTACCATGTCACAATTCTATACATGTTGTAGAAACTAGTATGAAGTCTATTTGAATTTATAAATCTGGTTTTGTTTATTATGCTTACTTACTCTTTAGAGTCTTTGCCTTCAGTTTGAGGCATTGCATGTTGAGAGGACAGTTTTAATGACAGGAACTGTTGGAATATTTTGAAGAATATTAATGATAATAGAAATGAATATTAATGAGAATAGAAAACATCCATTAGGAAGTAATCTTCAATAAACTTGCTGTTTATTGAATGTTACTGCATGGTGTTAGTAACCCTGTGGTGTTCCCGAAATTACACAGCGAAGTATGCTTTTAGAAATTTGGGTGCGTACTTGGGAGGAAATCTTGAGTTATTTGACCTTTTTGTAATGAGTTGGGATTTTGTCTAACTACCTTTTGTACAGAGGATGACACGCTGAGTGAGTCATCTATGGATAGCTTGCTTTGGAGCGACGACGACTGCAGTCAGGATGTTGACGTAACCACAAACCCTGATGAAGAAGTTGAAGAAAGTGATTTTGAGATTGTTCGGTGTGTTTGCGAAGTAAAAGAAGAAAATGACTTCATGATTCAGGTATGAAGTGGGCAGTGAGTGCACATTTCGGTGAACACAGTGGAAGGTGAACACAGTGTAGAAGTATGTACAGGGTATGTTCTGTACGTGAAATAAACTTCTTGTCCTCTGAAACCATTAAATTTTTTTAAGGTAACCTGTCAGGATGAGTAGCTTCTATGACAGGTAGAGACCTTGGCTTTTTGATAGTCTGTGAAAAATCTTCCATTTGTTTCTGGTTTTGATTTAGGGAAACTGGGGAAGAGGGACAGTTTTACACAAGCCATTAACAGTTGGCTTATCACTTGTGGATTTGTATTTTTGTAAAAATTGGAACCCTACATAGGTTTAGAGAATACGTATTTAAAATCAGTGCCTTTTTATCTGGCCTTTTTGCTTCCCTGAGGAAGCATGTACAGAGTATTGGCATGAGAAGGTGGTACGCTTCCATTTCTTTGCCCTGCAAGAAGCTTGGCATAAACCTACAATCCTCTAGATAGAATGAACAAAAAAATCATTACTTGAGTCTCTTGCTTTGAAGCAGAGCTGCATTTGTCCATTCTGCAGCTTCTTCTGTAGCTTGTAAATTCAAAATTCCTGATCTGCATAAGTAATTTTTCTGCTCTCCATATATGTACTCTTTTAAAACCAGCTTCACTGAAAACTGATTCCAGCCAGAGCAGTGGCTATTATCTCTCCCACTTAGTAGTGCTGATAAAAGCCTCTTTGGAATTATCCTGGCTGTTTACTTTTTGAGTAATTTGTAAAGTATCAGGAAACCATTCCCCATACAGCTTCTCTGAGCCATTCTACCCAGTTCCTATTAATTTCTAGAGGCAGAAACCTGTTAAGGAGAAGAGAGGGTGCACTGTTTAAATTGTAGTGTGAAGAATTCTTGGCTTCTGCAGCAGGACAGTAGAATCACCTTTTTTTGTGTGAGCATCAACAACCTAATTTTAAAAATTTTTAATGGGGCTGGCTCTAATGAGTTTGAATTGTGCTCAGTGGTCGAGTTTAACAGCTCACTTCACTGGGTAGTTTTCCTTGACCTTCCATATTATTTTGTGGAAATTTGATCTGGACAGTATGACACTTTTTCTCTTAGTGCTGAGGGAATTTTGATGCAGACCTGTATTCGTGTTGGATCCTGACAACGCAGAGTGAAAGATACCTTGTGCATTTGTAGGAAAGGGTGCAGTGATGAGCAGTGGTCAAAATTCGATAAAGAGCATCTGAGTGTATAGGAGTAAAAGGAGTCTTGACAGTTGGGAATAAAGGGGGCTGGCTGCCTTCTGCGGAGATGGCTCAGTGGAAAACAAAGGTACAGCCTGGAGTAGAATTTTATTGCGAAAGCAGGCTCACCACTATCTATGGTGCAGAATGCAGAGAACTGTCAGCTAGCTGAGGAGACAGCCTATGGATAATTTTCATATAAGGTTTTGTGGGCTGCTTCTGAGATTGGTGTTCTAGGTTGAACTAGTTTGGGTTTTTTTGAAATGTATTGTAAATTTTAAACACTTCAGCTGTGTTACCAAAGAAGTGTCTAGGAGACCAGGTTATTTTCTCTGGAAAAGAGATGCAGATTGACAGGTTGGTGAGTACCTGGCGGGGGCCACGTAGTGACAGGACAAGGGGTAACGGGTTTAAATTGAAAGTGGGGAGATTTAGATTAGATATCAGGAAGAAGTTCTTCCCGGAGAGGGTGGTAAGACACTGGGACAGGTTGCCCAGAGAAGCTGTGGATGCCCCATCCCTGGAAGTGTTCAAGGCCAGGCTGGAGGAGGCTTGGAGCAACCTGGTCTAGTGGAAGGTGTCCCTGCCCATGGCAGGGGGGTTGGAACTAGATGATCTTTGAGGTCCCTTCCAACCCAAACCAGTCTGTGATTCTGTTATTCTACCCCCATTCGTTAAGGGGATTGAAAAGATAAGAACTGGGGAGCAAGGAGCTGGTAACAAGACTTTGGGGTGGTATGTTAGGCAGATGGTTGGCTTGAGGTACCAAATGCTGTGGTCTCCACACCTTTCTGTCAGCCTCTAGTTTTTGGGAAAATATTTTGAACAGTCTAGTCTTCAGTTATTGATGCAGAAATGCCAGAGTTAATTCAAGTAGAGAGTGTTAATACAAAGCAAAGTGCTGTGTTATACAACTATGGAGTTGTGACAAGGGGAACCTATTTTCAGCTTTTCAGAGGTTTAGTGCCAAGATTGACACTTTCCTTTGTCTTTATAGAGTGAGAACCCTGTGTAGGATAAGAAGGAAAGATTTCTTCTGTATTTCCTACTCTGGCTTTAATTTGAACCTTGGAAACTAGAATTTGGAAGTGTCTGCCCTAAAGAACTTGTGTTTAGACTTGTCCTCCCTTCCTGAAGATAGGTAGTTTTACTGAGTGTATGGGTTTTTAGAAGAATATTGTGATTCTTAGCACTTGTCTCCATTAGGGTGTTTATCCTATCCCTGCTCATTACTGTGAGATCTGAATGAAATAGCTGATACTCGGGGTACTTGCTTGAGCATGTGCCAGTCTGCCTTGACTTGGTGTCAAAATTAGGAGCCAGGGCAGTTTCTGTATGCACAAGACCGGGGGTTCATTCCTCCAAGGATATGTGTATGGTGCTCTCTTACAACAGGGAGGATGGTAAATAATCTTCTCCTTGAACTGTACTCATTTCTGTGCATGTGCCACGTTTAGAAATAATGAGGGAAAAACCAGAAGCAGCACCTTTATTTTAACAAAAGATTGGGGAGCATTAAGGTTTAATGAAACCCTTATGCAGAGAGTTTGTTCCATTTAGGTCTTTAATAATGAAACTCAAAAAAATTCGGCTTATAGATTCTGAAAAAAACTTTTCCGTTACATTGAACTTGACTTAAATTATGCACAAATCGTGTAAGACTGTTAAAAAATACCGTTCCTGGTGCTGGGATATAGAAATACATTATTAAAATGTATTAAAGAATTTTTAAACAATTTAAAAATTAGAAGAAATAATACATTATTGGTCGATGCTGTTTCATTCCAGTGTCTGTAACTTGCAACGAGATTACTGGATTTCATTTGTGGAGCCTGTGTGAAGTAGTAACTTAGCATGCTGTTCTGAAGCCACAGCACTCCCTTTTTAGAGTAAGGCTTGGGCCTGGAAAAGTCCGGACAAAATGTCATTGTCCTTTCCTTTTGGATTTTATACCTAAACGTTAGTCCATTTGTGTGATGTAGAGAATTTTAGGACTGGATTTGGTGGCCCTGGAGGTGATGGATGTAAATGGACTTGGGATATTTTTCTTATGGTAGATGAAAAGTTGCTTTAAATACATGTCCATTGGGTTCAGATTTTTCTTTTGCACTTGAACTTTGATGTAAATGTTATTGCACAACTCTGCATGGTTTTTCCTCTTCAAAATCTCTTATTTGGCTTGTTTTGAATTTCCCTTCTACTGCCTGGGCAGGGAATAGCTTCCATGCAGTGTGTGTCCAGAGCAGCAACCTGTAGCCTGGCCAGCCAAGCTGTGAAGCAGAATGTGCAGATAAAAGTGTTCCCTGATGCAGTGGATGTTTAAATGTCAGTTGGGTAAAATAAAAAAAGTCATGATGCTTTGTTAAGAGTTCTGGGCAAACTTGCCTGGAAAAACACTGAGCGTAGCTCCGTGCCCTGTGGCACGGTGTATAGGATGCAGGTGTAACTAGGGTCAGGAGCTCCCTTCTTATTTTTAATACGCAGTCTATTTCTCTTCATCTGTCGTCTTCCTTTCAAGACTTCTGGCTCCTGCTAATCATCCTTGTGAAAGGAGGATGGTGTCCCAGCCTCTTCTGAAAACATCTCTTTATTGCTTTAGGACTGGTTACCCGTTTTGTCAGGCAAAACACTGTTAGTCCCATCTTAGGAAAACCTGTTTCTCTCTGACCTTTTACATTCTCCATTCCCAGTGCTGCTCTTTCCTCCACACCTAGATCATTAATTTAATACAGTGACATATTCAGAAACTGGTGGTCCCTTTCTGTCTCTCGTGGCTTGAGGAGAGGCAGCAGCTAAGACCACTGCAGTGGTAGAAGTGGTGTTAGCACAGATGAGCTCTTTATCAAGTTGGCATCCTTGTAGGTCAGTGAGGAGCCGCATCCAAGTTTGCTTGAAGTTGCTGTTTGTGTGTGGTTTAGCTTGTTTTTGCCAACATTGAGGAGATCTCTGCATTAAGCTTTTGGCTTGTGCTCTGAGAAATAAAGGTTATTGTCTCACTGCTTGTGAAAATAGTAATTCAGAACCAATACCATAGTTTCAAATCAAAATTGACTTAATATTCTTATGTGGGATTTTGTCCCGTGTTTCACTGATCTTTAGGCTACAGTTGAAGTTTTGTCTGCTTGTTAAAGCGTGTGTGAGTAAAGTGACTGAAACGGAACATGTGGATCCAGTTTTTCCCATGCTCTAAAACTCTTCTGCATTTTAAATAGCGTAACTGTGCTAAAAAGTAGGGCCAGATAATACTCGGTCTTTGCGAATATGATTGCTCACATTTGGAAGGATGTCAGAATCTTTCAAAGCTGGTACAACTGCATCTGCACTTCAGTGTTATATTGGTAGAGCTCCCTTTGAAATGGATAAAATGTTAGAGATACAAGTATCAGTAAAGCATAATATTGGCTACTCATATGTGACCTAAATATCCCTTGGATTTTATAATCCAGTGTGATTACTGTTTGAAAGTGGAAACATTTTAACTCACGAAAGTTGATGTATTGTGCTAAAGAAAACTTGCCTGCATACTGTTTTCTGTCCTGCTTATCTGTACATTCATCTCCAAATGGAACATTTTTGCGCCTTTCAGGATCTCTGCTTCCACCTTGTAATTGTTATTCTCTGGAAATCTGTGTGAAAAATGCATGGGAAGAGTTTAACTTTTATTCTAGTCTGATTCTTTAATGTATTTGCTTGTAGCTGGAAGAGGGGGGTGGGTATTAACACACCTTTTTGTCTTAAATATGTAGATGATGTGTCTCTTAATTGAGGTAATCTTATTGAGCTCCTGCAGGCTTCATTTCTGTTGATGTGCACTTCTTGACTTTAAACAGTGTGAAGAGTGTTTATGCTGGCAGCATGGAGTCTGTATGGGTTTACTGGAAGATAATGTACCTGAGAAATATACCTGCTATATTTGCCAAGATCCTCCAGGTACAGAAATTTAAGGTTATAGAGCCTTCTGATATATGTAGTAACTTTATTAGTTCACATATAAAAATACATATATATTGCAAAGATGGAACTTTTTTTTCCCCTCCCTTAGCTGTGTCTGTCGATATGGGTAACTGAGTTCAGTTATAGATACAGAAAGTTTAATTCATGTGAATGTACATGAGTCAGTATTGTGGAATTACAGCTGGACAGGAATGGGAATGAATGTTTTAACTGTGATTACCATCTGTCACATATTTTCTAGTAATAATGCTTGTATTACTGTCTGACTATGGAAGATGAATTTAGAAGTACTCAGGAAACTTAAGCAAAAAAATGGCACATCCTATGGGATGTGACTGCAGCTTTCTCCCAAGAAGACCAGGCTTTACACACTCAGCAAGAGGCTGGCTGGTTCTCAACAGCAGTGCTGTGTGAGTGCTGGTTCCGGAAAGGCACTTGGCAATCCATGTACATAAATGCAAATGTAGAGTATCTTGGGTAATGCAGTCAGAGGTGATGAAGCAATACGTTTTCTGCTCTTACGTATTTTAAAATGTCTTAGTCCATCTTATGCAGCATGTAAAATTACACCTGCCACATGGGTCTTTTCTGCCTTCCTACTCTGAGTTGTAAAGCCTCGCTGAATGTGGAAACGAATGAGGTTCGAGCTTGAGTTCATGTTGATAATGTATGAAAAAATGGGATCTCTGTTTGCCTAATCACAAGACCTTTTTGGTTTATATACATATTGGGTTTGTGATCTCTGCTTTTTTTGGCTGCTTAAAACTATCAGCTCTCTTGTAGCTTAACCTGCTGATTTGGGTAGTTCATATACTAATGTTTGTACTCATAGCAAGGAAAACATGCTGTGGTTACCTTCAGTTATCCAACTAGTAAAATAGTTTCATGTTTACTTAAGTTTTTTTACAGTATCTTGCATTCAGGATTTTAACCCTCTATTTTCAAGATATTTTGCTTTGATTTGGGTAAATTTGACTTTGTTCTAAACTTAAGTGCAGTGCACATGCAGACTGAAGTTGTGCCATCACACTGAAACTATTTCTATTCAATAAGGAGCTTTGTCAGAACGCGTTTTGGCAAAACTGACTGTAACAGTTCATTTGCTTGCTTAATCACTTTTATTAACTGTTGCTTTGAAGATCCTGAAACTTACTTTTTTGTTTGTTTGTTTGAGCTTAATTTTTACCTCTGTCTTGGAAAAGGAAAACATCTGATTTTTTGACTGTAAAAGGGACTTCTCAATTTCACTGAATCTGCTTTTGGCTTGGAATGACCTAAATAGACTTTATGAATCTGCAAAGAAGTTGTTCAGAAAACTGGGCATAGCCATTAAGCAAGCTCCTCTTTAGGACCTTTCCCCAGTTTAGTGCTGCGACTTTTAATAGCACCGTTAGTATTACTGGAAATAATAGCAAGTTTAGTGTAACTATGACTAAAAACTGTACCTACTGTCATTTTAGACAGTTTATTTTCTGAGTCAACTGGGATTTTTGAGATTTGATTACCCCTGCTTCAACATTTTATTCTTGTGGCCTGAACATTTTCTGTCACAGATTTTCTGTCACCTTCTTTCTCTAACACAAAAATAAATGTGTAGGGTTTAATACAGGTAGGTCAGGGATGTCTCTAAAGTGGTTCTGGCCATACCTAGAAGATCTCTTGCTTGATGCGGCATATCTGCCTGAAACGGTGAGCTATTACAGCCTTGAAAATTTGTTCTTCCCTGTGTTGGTTTCTGTGTGAGAGTTTTTGGAGGTCTTCCCTCAAAACCTTGTTTTGTCCAATATAGCCTCATGGCTGAGTCTGAGACAGACATTAGTATTGAATTCAAATTTGAAGGTGTCCTTTGTGTCCACAAATGTTCATACAGGGCGCGATAGAGAAACCGGTGTGCTGCCATTCTAACTGCCATTCACAAGCATATAAACACCTGTGGCCAAGTTCTGCGTGTGTCTCAGTATGGCTTCCCAAGAGTTGCTTTGCTTCATTGTGCCAAAGTTGATAGCATGGCCAGCAGTGCTACCTAATACTCACCTAGTGCAATCCCTTCTTCTTCCTCGGCTGCCTAGTAGCCTTTTTTTTTTTTTTAGCTTCTCCTTAGCTGCTGAAATTTCTAGTTGATACTAACCTGCTTACATTGGAGAGTTTTTCTGTGAATATTGTCTGAGTCTGTGCTCCAGTATTGTCTCTGATTTTGTAGGTCCACTGACTAGGCTGTATATAGGACAGTGATTCATGTGGTGTTGCTCAGGGTGCTGAGTTGTCTTCTGAGAACATCAGTTGTAACAAAGCATTTTGTGATCATGAAATCGTGGAGGTCGAGAAACTTAAGGGGGTGAGGAGGGTATGCAGCAAGTTTGCTACCCTGGACTT